GTAATATTGTTTTTGGATGGTAAAAAGTGCAGGGGTCAAAACTTGACTTTGGAAAAAGTGGGGGGGACATGTCCCCCCTGTCCCCCCCAAAATTACGTCCATGCAGCCACTCACCATTGTTGAAAATGAGGGATTCAGGGAGCTCCTGAAGCTTATTGCACCCTCATATGTTCTACCAAGCAGGAAGGTATGTTTAAGAAATGTTTGCTTTAATTAATCAACTACTTTCGTGTGTGTGTGTGTGTGTGTGTGTGTGTGTGTGTGTGACCTACAAGTAAACATACCAATACTGTAATAACATTGGTATTACAGTATTGGTATGTTTACTTGTAGGTCATAAAAGGACTTGGTGAGCCAGAAATATGAAGAGGAAAAGGAGAAAACAAAAAAGGACCTCCAGAGCGTCATTGCTGTTAGTTTAACAGTTGATATGTGGACATCCATTAATATGGAGGCATATCTTGCCGTTACTTGCCACTATGTGGACAAAGAAAGCCATGAACTCTGTTCATCAGTCTTGGGAGTGCAGCATTTCCCTCAGAAACACTGCAGAAAACATGGCCACAGTTAAAAGGAGCCTCATGGAGGAGTGGGGCATAGCAGGCAAAGTCAGGTGTCTTGTCACTGATGCAGCAGCAAACATGATTGCATGTGCTCGAATGCTGCAAGTACGGCAAACCATTTGCATTGCCCATTCCATAAATTTAATTGTAAGAAAATCATGTGATCAAATCTCAACACTAACAGAACTACACAACAAAGCACGGCAAATCGTGACATACTTTCGATCAAGCACCATGGCCAAGGAAAAGCTCACTCAAATGCAGCAACAGCTGGGAACACCATTGCATAAATTAATAAATGAGGTGCCGACACGATGGAACAGCACCTACCACATGCTGGAGAGATTGACTGAGCAGAAGGAGGCAGTCTGGGTGTCACTGGCCTCATTAAAAAGTGATCTCACTCCACTGACTCCAGAAGAATTTGAAATCATTGAAGAGATGCTCAGGGTGCTTGCTCCTTTTTACCAAGCCACAAGAGAACTCTCTGAGGAAAAAAAGAGTCTCGGGGTCAAAGGTTATTCCATTGATGAGAATGATCCACATTGAGCTTCAACATCAATCTTCAACGGTGACAAAACCCACTGCTAAACAGCTGGCTGAAAATCTGTCAAAGCGGCTAACCGAGTCCATCTGCAACATGGAATCGCTCAGTGTGATGTAACTGGCAACATTGTTGGACCCCAGGTTTAAAACTGCTGGCTTTTTTAGTCCACTGAAAGCAACTGAAGCTGTCAAGAGACTGAAGTCAGAGTGTGCTGCTGAAATGAGGAGCCATGAGCCTGACCCAGCAGTAGAGGAGCCTAACACTTCACATGGATCAGAACACAGTTCAGGTATGAAAACACATTTCTTTGTGAATATTTGTTTATTTCTGCAGAAGTTTGTCATGTGATAGTAAACCAATGATTAACAGACTTATTTCCAATTTATTTGTTAGGACACAATCTCTGGAGGCACCTTGATATGGAGGTTGAGGAGAGCAGGATGACCTCTAATACTACAGCCAATTCCATAACTGAAGTCCAACGCTACCTGGCTGAAAGAAATGCACCAAGAACACAAGACCCATTACAATATTGGAAAAATAACCAGAATTTATATCCACACCTTTATCAACTCGCACTTCAATTCTTATGCACACCATCTTCATCTGTACCCTGTGAAAGAGTGTTTTCTAAGGCAGGGGAACTGGTGTCTAAGAGGAGAAATCGCCTTGGAGCAAACACACTGCAGAAACTTTTGTTCCTCAATAAAAATGCATAAATGAATCCATATTTAGTCTTTAATTTTGTATGATCTAACACAGAGGTTAACACATTTACATAAGTTAAAACTTTTACTTCTGATTTTTATTAGACACATTCAGAAGATTTAACATGCCAACTCAGTGTAGCATTTACACAAAGGTTATAAGCAAATGTTAAACTCCTTTCATAAACAACTTAACTTAAATTGAGTAAATTAAATTACATAATGATATATTTTGATTACAGGAAATTAAATTTTGCACACCTGGTGTGGGTTTGCAGCATGTAAGCTTTTCCATCTTATTTACCTGCAATGATTTTAGAAATACTGCAGGTGTCGCTATTGAATGACCAACACAGTGTCAATACAGTGCCGACACAGTTTGTCTAGTGTGTCAATACACTCCTTGAGGTATCATCCTTCCATCACTAGCAGTTAGTCGTTTTAGCTGATAAACTCTCCCAGAGACTGAAGACAATTTTACTGCAGAGCCTCAAATATTCTCCTCACACACCAGAACAACAAGCTAGCTCTGCTAGCAGCTTCCGGTTTCTGCTTTTACCGGTGATCGGTGACTAGCGTAAAGTGCACTAGCGCCACCTGCTGGAGCATAATAAAACACGTGTGTTCAGAATGGGACTAATAAAACACATAACATGTGATATCTTCCTCAAACAATTACTTAAAGACAAGTTAGTTTTACACCTGTTATAATAATTTTGTTATTTACTTTATTTTTATTTTAATCTTGTTTGTTTTTATCTCATCTGTTTTCTTTGATGTAAAACTAATTATGTGTCTGTTGCTGCTGCCTCGGCCAGATCGTTGTTGTAAATGAGAATGAGTTCTCTATCGACCCATCTGGTTAAATATATTTCTGATACACACACACACACACATTTATATATATGTATGTATGTTTTAATGGTGGGCTGGTTTGATTAATATGTGTGATAAGCTGGGCGATCAACTGGTTGAGATGCCAACCAGTCCTACATCTACAAACCAGGGTATATACAGCAATCCTTAAGTAAAATTTACTACTTTTTAATACTTTTTTTTACTACCTTCAGAATTTTTTTAAAACCATCACAACACTAAATTGCAAGTGTTAATCAGCGACCTATTTACACATATTTTAACATATATAACATACAAAAAGAATAGACTTAGAGACTCACTGATGTTGACAACGTTTTGCACATATTTATTTTACTTAGAAAATAAGCCAGGCACTTCTTTTCAGCGGTTCAGACAGTTGACCACGAGGCCTGAAATGATGCACAACGACCACTGAATATGACGTCATCATTATGTGACCGGATATGCTAAAGTAGGGCTGCTCGATTATGGCAAAAACAATAATCACGATTATTGTGACTGAAATTGAGATCTCGATTATTTAAGACGATTTTTCAATTTATGTAGATTTTTTTTTTAATTCAGTCATAAAATTGCTCAGGGCACAATCAGGGCAAAAATAAACAAAAAACAAGATGATCACTAAAATAACTCCTGATTCCCAGTATAAAAAGACCAATATACTTACAGCTCATAGTCTAAGACCCAAGGGCTATAGACCTTGGTTTAACTCATTTAAGTCTAACCAGTACAGACCCAAATACCAATATCTTGCAAATACTGACAGCAAGAATTATACAGTGGCATTTATAACAAATACATGCAAATTGATGTTCACTAAATTTTGCATAACATTTATTTAGTCGTGTCAAGGTGCTGTAGGAGCGTGCACTAGCACCGTGTCCTCAGAGAGATTAGTTATTATTTATCAGCGTGAGAAACTTATTTCTACCTTATTTATAAACTATAAGTCCATATATTTATAACTAAGTCCATCAGTTAATGTAATAATTGTCCCAACCACAGCTGCACCCCCCACCCCCAACCCGGTCTCAGCAATCAGGGGCAAGCTGCACGTGTGTTTAGCACGCGCACATTTAGCCGTTTTTATCGGCTCAGGAGCCCGCAGGTACGGTGTGTGTCACTCACTCTGGTTACTCCAACATGGAGCCGGCTCTGAGAGCCGTTTCTTTAGCGACTGACACATCACTACATCATTCCCTTTCCTAATGTCCTGAAGAACAGTCCGGAGCGCAGGCGGAGTGTTTAGCTAACCTGCAGGAAATGTCGCCGACAGTTATCCAGAAAGTAGCTAAGGTTACCAGAGATGTTTCTGAGGTGTTCGCTAGGTACTTTTAAGATTTAAAAAGTCAAGAAGGGGGTGTGAAAAGCTGTTGGAAATAGCGTCAAAGTTGCCAGGTTGGCAACACTGTCAGGAGGAGCGCTTCATTTGCAACTCAGGGCAGCGCAAGTGGGAGGAGCAAATAATCAGCTTGTTTTGTTTTTATAATCGTTCAAAACATTTCATTCGGAATATATTTCTATGTCGATGTTCAGAATACGACATCTGATAGTCTGAAAAAAATAATACCTAATTTGGAAAAAATAATACCTCTGAGACCAAATTTAACACTTTTAATGGCCTTAAATTTGACTATTTTTATTTATCACTTTTTAATACTTTTTAAAACCCCGCGGACACCCTGACAAACAGTCCAAAGAACTGGGTGTGAGCATAGCCTCTGTGTGGCCCTCCACATACGGCCCCTTGAACACCCAGATGGTCTGTTACACATACGTTTCTGGTTCTTATCAAGCGGCCAAGCAGTCACCAATATTTACATTCAAACAGTCCCAAGTCAATATATATGTATGTGGTCCCAAGAACTGGGTGTGAGCGTGTCCTCTTTGTGGTCCCCCACAACATGATGAACACGGGCTTTAAAAACTCTGGACATCTCCTGTGATTTAGATTCATCATATATTTCCCCCAGTTTCAGCTGTGTCTCATTTAGTAACAAAATATGATCTAGGTCTAGAAGCAGACTCTTGTTCATCACTGATTGTTTATTTTTGTGGAACCCCCCTTCCTTTTGTTTCTTCCTTTCTCTTTCACCTCTGTCTCCGTGTCTGGTCGGAATTACAAAGCATTCAAATAACAATAAAGCTTTAAGTATCAGGCGTAACATTAAAGCAGAAGCTTTGATGCTCCACCTGAGAGTAAATCTGTTAGGCTTGTCACCAGCATTCAGACCTTAATCCTGTTTGCTTCACAGCCAGACAGGACACGGGGGGAAAAAAAGTAATAAAACGTGATTGTGAAAGCTCCCTCAAGTCAAGTTTATTATATAGCCCATTTCATACACAAAACGGTAGCCCAATGTGCTTCACAAAGTTAAAACAATCACAAGTGAAATGAAATAGTTAAAATGTCACATCCTATTGTGTAAAATAAAATCAAAGAATAAAGACACAGAACATAGTACACAAAAATAAAAGCATATAAAGTACAATTATTTACTTTAAAATATAGAACAAAGATAAAACAGCACAGAATAGGTATACATATAAAATACATATAGAATAAATTTATCACAGTACAGATAAAGACCTAGTAGACCGCAGATGCAAGGATAGGTTAATGGAAGGCATCATGAAAAAGTTTAGTTTTTAATTAGTTTAATTAGTTTTTAGACCTGTGGAGTAAAAAAAACCTACAAGATACAGAAAAAAAGGATAAATCTCCAACCTACATATTGTCAGCAATAAACGCAGCAAAACTTAACTTTCATGACCAAAAAAAAAACCCCCATAAAATTATTCATTAAATCAGGAGAGCAGGAACAAATCTTATTTATTTCAATTCAAAAATATTTAGACTTTTGTGTTTTCATCACATTTAGCTTGTATTTTATATAAAATATATTCATCTTTACATGTTAGCCGTTTCTGTGTGCTCAACAACTTATGTTACCAACCTCTAAAAAAATTATCAAATCGTTCACATGAAGTAGATTTGTTATTCATTATCCGGAAGTATTTGATTAGTTTAAAAAACTACATATAATTTGTTTAATTTGGATTTCAGAATGTCACTAGTTTACTTATACAAAAACAATGTATGTACTGAAATATGGAGAAATCAACTTGTGAGTACAATGCATGTTAATATAGTAAGTATAGCATTTTTAACATAAGCACATTCACAAATGGAAAGTATCAATGTAAATAAATCATATGGCAGTAACTCTGCTGTACTTTCACTGTGTAAAAGTAGCTCACGGACCAAAAAAGTTTGAAGACCCCTACAATAGATCGCCCAGCCCTAGTGGATGCTTAAATGATTGTTTAAAGTTTTCTTTCGGCTAAATCTTCGTCCACAGAACTCACACGCAAAAGGCTTCTGTCATTTGTGGACTCCCATGTGTCTGTTTAAATTTGTCTTTTCGCTAAATCTTTTTCCACAGAGCTCACAGGCAAAAGGCTTCTCTCCTGTGTGGACTCTCATGTGTGTGTTTAAAGTTGTCTTTAGGTTATATCTTTTTCCACAGAGCTCACAAACAAAAGGCTTCTGTCCTGTGTGGACTCCCATGTGTCTGTTTAAATTTGTTTTTTTGCTAAATCTTTTTCCACAGAGCTCACAGGCAAAAGGCTTCTCTCCTGTGTGGACTCTCATGTGTGTGTTTAAAGTTGTCTTTAGGCTATATCTTTTTCCACAGAGCTCACAAGCAAAAGGCTTCTGTCCTGTGTGGACTCTCATGTGTCTGTTTAAATGTGTCTTTTGGCTATATCTTTTTCCACAGAGCTCACAGGCGAAAGGCTTCTCTCCTGTGTGGACTCTCATGTGTTTGTTTAAAGTTGTCTTTACGCTATATCTTTTTCCACAGAGCTCACAAGCAAATGGCTTCTGTCCTGTGTGGACTCTCATGTGATTATTTAAAGTTGTCTTTTGGCTAAATCTTTTGCTACAGAACTCACAGGCGAAAGGCTTCTGTCCTGTGTGTACTCTCATGTGTGTGTTTAAAGTTGACTTTAAGCTAAATTGCTTTTCACAGAACTCACAAGCAAAAGTCTTCTGACCTGTGTGGACTCTCATGTGACTGTTTAAAAGTGTCCTATGACTAAAGGATTTGTTGACAGTCTTAAAATCTGGCTCAGAACACCTGTTCTCATTCCAGTCATTGTCTCGGTCTCCAGTTTCAGACCCAGAGTCTGACAGCTCAGAGTCTAGATTTGCATCATCATCATCATCATCATCATCATCATCAGTCAGTTCATGAGGGTTCCGATCTGGGTTCCGGCTAGTTTCTAGTCCACCAGTTTCTGCTGTCGTCTGGTCAGCTGCGCTGCTGGTTGAAACATCTCTGTCTTCTATTTGCTTCTGATGAAGCTGTGAGAACAGAGGCTTCTCTTCATCATCCTCACTCTTTATAGAAGAAACAGTGAATGGAAACCTGGCAGCATCAGTCTCCTCCTTCAAATGGAGATGTGCCCCTTCCATACTGGGCCAGAGTTTCTTCTGTTCCTCCTTTATGTGGAGAAAATCTAAGTCCTGCTGGTTGACACCAGTGCTATGTTCTTCTAGAGCTTCTTCTTTAACCAGCAACACCTGTTGAAAAGCTGTAGGAAACACAGAAACGCATGATGTGAATTACCGACAGCTGTAACTGTGTTTTCAAACATATAACAGGAGCCCTGACAAACAGCCAAGTAAAAAACGCATAATAACACCTATTATAAAAAGACTTTTTCCCCTGCACACTGGACCAGGACATGAAAATTCAATGAGCTGCATACTGACGAGAAAGTTTGCTCTTATAGCCTGGTGATATTGTGTGTGTGTGCGTGTGCGCGCGCGTGTGCGTGTGTCTTACATCCGCTGTGAGGACACATTTTTCACCTCTAACATGGGGACATATTAAAAGTGTGAGGACATTTGCTAGGTTATCACAGTGAATAAAAACCTAATTTGGTTTTAGAGGTACGGTGTGAATTAGGGGTTGCATGACTGAAATTTTTTTAAAGTCGACAGTCAGGTAATGAAGATCGAGTCGACTTCGACTAGTTGTTGATGACGTCATTCACCTGAAGCGGCACGGGGGTGGGTGGGGGGGGGGTGGGGGGTCGGTAGGTTCGCTGGAGTTATTGACAATTAAAATTGCGCCTACATTTTCTAGGTTTACACATCTCTTTTAACAACGGTAGTTCCTGCATCCTACTTCAGCCCTCTCCCCCCTCCCCCTTGGCAGCAGTCGCAAACTCACTGATGCGCCTGCAGCCTTTCCTGCTGCTCTAAACATTAAATTAATTATTTCATTTTCTGTTCCTCACTTCTGATTACCTTCAATGGTGTTTGTTTGTTGCAACCACCAGGTACAAATACAGACTTGTTTTTATTTGACTATTTTTCTGTCCTGTCTGTTTATTATCTTCCTGCATCTCCTCTCAATCCTAAAGAAAAACTGCTACCTGTCATGTTCTGTGTCCCTTTGTTCTCCAGCCCCTCCAGTTCCCACTCCAGGTTCTCCTTTTGTGTTTCATGGCGCCCTCATGTGTCCTTTGTCTGCGTCTTTCCCCATGTGTCTCCTAATGTTTCTCCATCCCTCTCTGGATTCCCTTTTGTGTTCTCTTAGCGCCCTCATGTGCCCTTTGTCTGCATCTCTGTTGTGTGTCTTAAGTTATAGCCACAGCCTCTTGTTCCCCAGTTCACTGTATGCATGTATGAGTTTGTGTGTATCAGTATGTGTATGTGTTTGTGTGAGTTCTTCCCTTAGTCTTTAGGTTTAGTTTTGTGTTTTATATAGTGTTAGGTTTATCTGCCCTCCACTGGTTCTCTTCCCCATCCATATAATTGCTGTCACCTGCCTTCCCTCCAGCCACACTCCACACACCTGCTTCATGTTTCCCTAATTGCTCCTCCCTGTCTATATAAGCCCTCCTTGTCTCATTGTTCTTGTCAGTCCATTGTTGTTTTATGTCAGCGTTGTTTGTTGTCTCTCCCTCCTAGTCTCTGGTTCTCTGCTCATGAAGTGAGCTTTTGGATTTTTCCTTGCTTCATTTTTGTTATTGGGTTTTTTGCCTCCTGCCCCTTTTGGATTTTTATGTTGTCATCCTAAATAAAGGATTCTTCTTTATTTAACATTCCTGCCTCGTGTCATCCTTGGGTCCTAACCTCCTGCTCCTAAACGTGACACTACCTGGGTTCATTTATATTCCCCTTATGAGTTACCTTTGAACTGCAGTTCTAAAAGATCTACCGACCGCAAAAACAGCGGAGCGCCGCTGCTCGCCGGCCGACTACAACGGGACCGTTTTTGCTGTGGAGTTCATGCCGGAGCAGAGCGGAGTGGAGATAGTGGTATTTTGGGGGAGCATCACCGGAGGACAAAACAGGTGATGCGCCTCGCTCCGCAGCAGCAAAACGCATCAGGCACAAATAACAGACAGAAAACATTAAAGAAAATGAGCCGACATGAACGATCGCGTGTTTAATTTGTTTTTGAGGTGGTGACACCTGATTTGGCGGTGCTCAGGACGCAGATGTCTGGAGCGCGTCAACGATCAGAGCTTTGCATGCGCAAACTGGTTAAGATTAGGATGGGGGTGAGGGGAAGGTAAAACTGTAAGAGGGAAAAGGTCACAGTTTGGTTAAATGTCCGTTTTACAGCCGGTCTCAGTACCGACGCTCTGGCACAGCGCATCGCCTCCGCCTCCCGACGCGCAGGGGCTCATCACCTGCTGTCTTTTCTGAGGACTGCATCTTGTCAGTCATTATCACGTGACAGCGACTAGTCGATGAAAGGCATTAAAAAGTCACTACTGAGCCGTGAAGTCGACTAGTCGACTAGTTCATACAACCCCTAGTGTGAATTAACTTTTAGTTGAGGTTAGAGTTGGGAATACAGCAACAGTAGTTACTTAACCAGACTGGTAATCGAGAGAACTGGGAAATGGCCTGCCATTACCCTGGCCCACTCAGAGATTGCCATCAGTCTAAATGAACAATCCGTCATTTGACTAATCGGGCCTGTATTGGCACTTTCACATCTGGGCAAGCACGGATCGGACTGTGTGGCATTTGTCCGGGTCCTGCACCAGTAGGTTTTGTTCACACACACTTTTCATGAATGGGGAAATCTCCTAGCTAGTGGGCTGGGCCAAATAAAACACAGAGAAAGTCAGCGGTGACTCCCTTAAACAATGGCTGTGCAGCTTAAATCTCTTTGTGTGTTTCTGTGTGTGTGTAATCCTTACAGCAGTGAGGAACGACGCCGCTTCAGTCAGAGGCGATACTAAACAGTATCCATGATAATGAATTGTGCATGCAAGAAGGTCCTGCTGCTTGGTTCAATCCGCCAATCGAAGGCTCCCTCTAACGGTAGGCATGTTTTTGAACCGGCCAATAAGTTGGTAATGGGTGTGTTGGACCTATTCAGCCCAAAGCAGACCTCCTTGGTATGTGGGCCAAAAACCCGACTGGTTTAGTGAAGAAAATTACAAGACTACCTAGATATGGGCACTTAAAAAGCTACCCAGTCTGGTCCATGCTGGCTCAGATGAGAAAGCACCATAAGTGACCATTTTGGAAGAACCAGTTTAAGGTGGTGTTTTAGGGCCAGTTAACACGAAGTGTACATTGCGCAATGATGAGTATGCAGGGTGGGTTTGAGTGAGTAAGAAGAAACAATGGCTGCCAGAATTTGATAATCTGATCATCATCACCTGACACCACATCTAATTTTGACCTTTCATCATACTGGGACTTTTTTTCTAGGGTACAATGCGTACCTGTAAATTTTCCTGGTATTTATTAGTCCAAATCTCTGAGATTTCTGAAAAACATATCTGTGTTCAGAAAAGAACCAAATAATGGAATTGGATAACAAACACAGATATTATTTAACAAAGATTTTCAAAGCCTTTTCTCCACCCGCAGCACAGTCAGAGCCGCTTGAATAGAATAGAATAGACTATAATTCCCACAGTGGGGAAAATCACTCCTTACAACAGAACATACACTTAAGAGAAAAAGAAGCAGAAAAATAAGCTATTATTGTAACCTTCAACCACTAAAATCAACGAATAAAATAAAAACTTGGTTTTCCAGAAATATGCATCATAAAGGACACTGACATATTAATGTAAATCAGTGCACAAGTATTGAACACATTCTGAATATTGCATTGATGTCATTGTGTAACAGAGCCATTATACACGTTTACTGCAGAGGGGATGAACGACCTATGGTTGAGTTCTGTTTTACATCTTGGATGTCTCAGTCTGCCACTGAAGGAGCTGTCCAAGGCCTACACAGTGGAATGCAGTGGGTGAGAGGTTTTTATTTAAGATGGAAGTCATCTTCACCATCATCCTCCTTTCACACGTCTCCTCTACTGAATGTAGTTGGCAGCTGGGAATTAACTTTGAAGAACCTCAGCTTCAGGACGTGGAGGCAATTTTGGCCCTTCTTATACAGAGCATCTGTGTTGTTGGACCAGTTTAGTTTACTGCTCAGTTGAACACTCCGGTACTTAAAGGTATTCACCACCTAAATGTCTGTATCCTGGATGTTTACTGGTGACTGATGAGTAGTGTTTCTCTGGAAGTCAATCACCATCTCCTTTGACTTACTAGTGTTCAAGCAAACATCAGTCAATAAAGTCTACAATGATTGACCTGTACTTCAGGTCATTCCCCACCGACTAACAGCCAAGTCATCTGAGAACTTCTGGATTTGACAGCGCTGCTGGTGTTTTAAGTGAAATCCGAGGTGTAGAAGGTGAATAGCAAACACAAACCTTTCTTTTCACTGCAAGTCAAAGCGTTAGGAAATGGCCGCGAAACATCCAAAATTTTCTCTCTCTGAGTCTCAGAACCTGGTTGAGCTGGAGAAAGTTTTCTGCCATCCAGAATTTGATGTCTAAATTGCAGTTAAAAAGTGCATCCATTGGCCGTGTGTCATCAGGAGACACGGAGATGTACAACCGTGTATCATTAGCATAACTGTGAAAGTTGACTCCATGTCTCCTGATGACACCACCAAGAGGGAGCATATAAAGGTTAAAAAACAATGGGCTTAAAACTGAACCCTGAGGCACACCACATGTAATCCTATGAACCCTAGAGGAACAGGTATCTAAACTTACCATAAAAGTCCTGTCTGTGAGATAACCATCTGTGAACAGTATCAGAGTGGCCAATTTCTTTTAGACAGGTTAAAAGAATAGTGTGGTCTAGTGTATCAAAAGCAGCACTTAGATCCAGTAGAACCAGCACTGTCGCTCTCTGTTCATCATAATTTTATTTAAAATCTTCAGAAGGGCCGTCTCCATGCTGTGGTTCACCCTAAAACAAGCTTTTCTAAAATTTTGCTTAAAAAGAGTAAGTTAGATACCGGTCTAAAACTGTTAAAATCATTTAAATCTTAATTGCTTTTCTTCAACAGGGGCCTCGCCACTGCCCCTTTAAAGACAGAAGGAAAGACCCCCGTCTAAACTGAGCAATTCGTAAAGATTCAAATTTAATCTCCAAAAGATCCATAAATTGCTTTAAAAACTTTGTGGGAATTGGGTCCAGAGCACATGTGGTGGGCCTCACCAAGGAGTAGGGCTGGGCAATAT